CTTCGGAGCAGCACGCGCGGCCCCGCGCGTCGCCGACGTCGACCTCGAGGCAGCGGAGCAGCTTGATCTCGTAGCGCAGCGTCTCGTCCGAGGGGATCCAGAGCCCCGAGAGCCCCGCCGCGCGCGTCTGCGCGATGGACAGGCCCCGGGGGTACGCGGAGTCCGGCGGCGCGACGACGAGGCCCCGCTCGCCCGCGCGCATGCGCGCGACGGCGATGTCCACCGCCGGCGTGACCGGCCCGTCGATGGTGGTCCGGGAGACGACGGACCCGACGCGGAACGCGCGGCCGTCCGGCGGGAGCCCGCGGAGCCGCACGGCGACGACGTCGCCCTTCGCGGGCACGGCGCCGCGGCCCTCGGAGACCGCGCGGTAGCGCACGCCCGACGGCAGCTCGACGACGCCGGCGCTGGCCTCGCTCGGCGCCGCTGCGGGCGGCGCTGCGGAGCCGACGGGCGCTGCGGTAGCTGCACGCGGCGCTGCGAAGGCGGCAGCGGGCGGCGCGGCCAAGGCGGCAGCGGACAGGCCTCGCACGAATGATCGCCTATCAATATCGAGCTGCAATGCACGAGCGGGCGCACAGCATCGACACGCAGTGCATGAGTCGCATCATGCTAGCAAGCGGACAAGCGCGCGGCTGTGAAGCTTTGGCTTCGCTGAAATGCCACAAGCGCTTGATAATTAAGCACGGTGACGCGATGGTGCCGTTCGAGCTCGAACAAAGAAAGACCAGAGATGGTGAAACTCATTAGCCTTCTCACCGTCGGCGCGCTGCTCGACGCGACGCGCGCGGTCGACATCGATGCCATGCGCCGCGACCTCGTGGCAGCCGTCGACGCCGGCGCCGTCAAGAACACGACGGAGTGCCACGCGCGGCTGCTGACCTACGAGTACTCGTTGACCCTCCTCCCCGCGCGCGCGCCGCTCCTGGAGGCCTTCGACGCCCTGGAGCTCGAGGCGGCGTGCGGCGTGCCGCGGCCCGCACGCCGGCGCGCCGGCGTTCCCGCCCCACTCGCCCGCGCCGGACGGCGCGGTCTTCGTCGCCGTCGACGGCGCCGACGGCGGCGCGGGCACGGCCGCGGACCCCTTCGCGACGGCCGCGCGGGCCCTGGCCGCGACGCGCGCGGGCTGGCGCGCCGAAGGCCATCGTCTTCCGCGGCGGCGTCCACTTCCTCGGGGCCACGCTCGAGCTCGACGGCCGCGACTCCGGTCTCACGCTGTCGAACTACGAGAACGAGGCCGCGTGGCTCAGCGGCGGCGTGCCGCTCGCGACGACCTGGGCGCGCGCGGCGAACGCCACCTACGAGACGCGCATCGACGAGACCTTCCCCTACCGCGGCACGATCCTGGGTTTGAACGTCGTCGAGCCGCACCGGCGCTTCGTGCGGGCGCGGTACCCGAACGGCGGCGGCTCCGTCGGCGTCGAGACGCGGTCCGGCGTGGGTCAGGTCAAGTCGTCCGACATTTTGAGCTACGGCGCGCCGCCCGTCGTGCCGCCGGCGGCCCAGGTCTACGTCGCGGATCCCGCCTACGCCGCGTCCGCGTCGGAGCACTTCAACGCGTACGCGTCGGGCCGATGCGCCTTCGCCGGCGACCCGCTCTGCCCCTGCGGCGCCTGGCGCGACACGGACGGCGACGGCAACTGGGTCTCCGAGAGCTACTGGTGCAGCAACGTCTCCGGCGGCGGCTGGGCGGAGATGGACAGGGGCGACGGGTTCTGGAACGGGCCCGTGCTCCCGACGAACGTCACGCTCCGGGGCGGCAGCGACCTCGCGGCCCGCGCGGCGACCTGGTCCCCCAAGGCCCGGGGCGAGGCCGTGGTGACGGCCTGGCGCGCCCAGGGCTGGTTCGTCGACATGTTCCGCGTCGACGACGTCGTCGCCGACGGCGACGGCGGCGCGACGCTGACGTGGAGCTACGGCGGCTTCCAGGGCGGGCGCGGCTGGCAGGTCGACGGGAAGAAGGGGATCATCGACCCGCTGCCGCCGTTCTACGTCGAGAACGTGCGCGAGGAGCTCGACGAGGCCGACGAGTGGCACTTCGACAACGACACGAAGATTCTGTCCTACGCGCACAACGGCACGGGCCCGCCGCCGGAGGACTGGCAGTTCGTCGCGCCGGACCTCGCGACGCTCATTTCTGTCGTCGGCACGAAGGAAAAACCCGTCGAGGACGTCACGATCCGCGGCCTCGGCTTCCGCGACGCGTCGATCACGTACATGGACGCGTGGGGCGTGCCGTCCTGGGCAGGAAACAAAAATATTCGACACGACTTCAATATGCACGGTTTTGAATTTTTTGTCGCCGTCTAGAAAGAACCCGCCGAAAGAAAACGATCCGTCCAAAAATCAGCCGAAACGACTTCGATTTGACCGAGATAGAGAAGTTTTTGCTGGACGGGGCGTTCCACTGGTCGTTTCCGGCACAGGTGCCGTCGGGCGGCGACTGGGCGTTGCACCGCGGCGGCGCCGTCTTCCTGGAGCACACGGCGCGCGTCACCGTGGAACAGAGCAAGTTCGAGCGCGTCGACGGCAACGCGCTGATGGTCAGCGGCCGGAACCGGAACGCGACGATCGCCGACAACGAGTTCGCGTGGATCGGCGACTGCGCCGTCGCGGCGCGGGGCCGCGCGGAAAGCAAATCTTCAATCCGACTTCAATGTGCGCGCAATTGAACGGATTGCACCGGACTCTTTGACTGTGCTTCGAGAACTCAGTGGTTGATTTCCACACAGGCGTGGGGCCGCGCCGACGACGGCGACGGCAGTGCGCTCGACGTCCCCCTGCGCACGACGCTCCTGCGCAACTACGCCCACGAGCTCGGCATCTTCGAGCTCCAGAGCGCCATGTTCTTCCCTGTGTGGTCGCATACGCTCACATCGAAGTCGGGTCGAAGATTTGAGTTCCACGCAGGTACTTCCAGGCGAAGGCCGCGCTCACGACGATCTCCTCGAACGTCTTCTTCAACGGGCCGCGGTCCGCGATCAACTTCAACGACGGCTTCGGCGGCGGCAATGTGGTGGATCGCAACGCCATCTGGAACGTCTGCCGCCAGTCCGGCGACCACGGGCCGATCAACTCCTGGGACCGCCAGGCGTACCGCACGCCGCTCCGCGACCCGAGCGGCGGCTGGGCGCCGCTGCCGACGGTCATCTCGCGCAACGCGATCATCGCCAACTACGGCGGCTCCCAGGGCGTCGACAACGACGACGGCTCGTCGTGGTACGACATCTTCGACAACTTTTTCTACGGCGAGGGCCTCAAGAACGACTACGGGGGTCACGACTCGTCGTACCACGGCAACGTGAACGTCGTCCACCCCTACGACGGCCAGAACTGCATCAACGTCTGGGCCTTCGACGCTTCCGCGCCGGGCCCCTGCGTCGGCGGGCCGGAGACGGCCGAGCCGTGCTCCCACGCGCACCTCTTCCACGACAACATCTGCGTGCTGCTCACGGACGTGGCCCAGGGCTACGGCACGCAGCAGCAGGTCGCCTGCGCGGCGAAAGACGGGACCTTCAACCCGAAGGCCCCGGACCAGATGGCGAAGATGCGCGACAACCGCTACTACACGGCCAACGGCTCCGCGTTCCTCAAGTGCCCGGACAAGACGGAGCTCGCGAGCCTCGCGTTCCTCCAGAGCGGCGGCGTCGAGCTCGGCTCCACGGAGGGCACGATCCCCGACGACGCGACCATCGTGGCCTGGGGGCGCGCCGCGCTCGGCTTCTGAGGCCGTCCGCGCGCGGGCAAGGGTAATTTTGACTTCAAGTTGACACAGCGCGAGTGTAGAGAGAGAGCATGATGCGCTTCTCCTTGCTCTCGCTCTGCGCGCTGCGCCCGGCGCGCGGCTTCGCGGCGGCAGCGCTGCGGCGGCCGCGCGCGGCGCCGCGCGTCGCGCGCTTCTCCGTGAGCGGCGCCGTCTGGGAGGCGCGCGGCGCGTCGGCGCCGGTCGTCGAACTCTTCACGAAAGAGGGCTGCACGCTCTGCGACGAGGCCAAGGCCGTGCTCGCGTCCTGCCGCGACGACGCGGACCACGCGCTCACGGCCGTCGACATCACGGACCCGGACAAGAAGCGGTGGCTGGCCAAGTACAAGCGCGGGCCCGGCGCCGGCGGGTCGTCGCGCGCGACCGCCTTCGCGCGCGCGCAGGTACGACATCCCGGTCCTGCACGTCGACGGGCAGTACTGGACGAAGCACCGCGTCACGGCCGAGGAGGCCGTCGCCGCCATCGGCGAGGCCGCCGCGGGCGACTTCGCGCCGCGCCGCGGCCAGCCCGACGCGTCCCGCGCGGAGGTCTAGCGCTAGTCCGCGCGCGCTCGACTTCTTCCGGGGCACCCTCGCGCCGCGGCCGGCCCGGCGCGTCCCGCGCGGAGGTCAGTAAGCCGGGCATTCCTCGAGGTCGCCTCGCGGGCGCCGCCCGGGGAGGTTACCGCGGGCCTAGGCCGTCTTGCAGACGCAGGCGCCGGTGCCGTCGACGGCGAAGCACGTCGGCCCGCAGCCCGCGGCCTTGGTCACGGGCGCGAGCCTGGCCGCGGGCGGCGTCGCCGCGGCGAGGTTCGACCACGCGGCGGCCCACGTCGCGTTCGATACGTTGGGCTCCGTCGCGCGGACGCTCAGCACGTCGGCCCAGGCGAGCTCGATCTCGAGGGCCGCCGTCGGCGGCAGCGGCGTCGCGAGCGTCGACGCGTTCGACACGGTGCCGTCGAGGATCCGGTTCGACGAGTTGAAGAGCGCGGTCTCGTAGCCGATGGAGAAGAACTGCTCCTCGCGGCCCGTGTTCAGGCCCAGGGACCAGACGAGGGGCCAGCCGCGGGCCGCGCACCAGGACCGGAGCTCGTCGCCCGCGTCCGTGCCGAAGAGGCTCGGGAACGACGCGATCGCGAAGCGCACGGACGTCGCGAGCGGCAGCGTCATGGCCGGCATGGCCTCCCAGTAGTGGATGAGCTCGGGCCCGGCGATGGGCGCGCTCCAGGGCTCGGCGAGGAGCCGGAAGGTCCGCGCGAGCTTCGCCGCGACGACTTCGGCCGTCGCGTTCGGCCCGGCCCAGTACCGCGCGTTCGGGAGGAAGAGGTGCGAGAAGTGGTCGAGCGTGCCGAGGGAGAAGTCGTAGGCGCCGCAGTCGTGGGGGTAGGGGTGCCAGTCGCCGACGGCGCCGTGGGCCGGCGACGCGTCGGTGTGGTTGCAGAGCGCGGTCCACTCTCCCGTGTCGATGGCGGAAACGAGCAGCCCCGGCCGCACGGCCTCGGGCTCCAGGACGAGCGTCAGGTTCCCGTAGAGCGGCGAGCAGGCGTCGGAGCGGACGGCGTTGAAGAGCGCGTAGGACCCGCGCTCGTCGGCCTCCGCGAGGGACGCGGGCATGCCGCGCGTGGCGAACGGCTTCAGGCCGTACGCGCCGACCTCGACGTCGTCCTGGATGGCGAACCAGTGGCTGAAGGAGTGGCTCGCGTTCGACGGCGCGAAGGAGCCGTTGTGGCGCAGGCGGTTCGCCCACTGGTCGTCGAGGTCCTCCGTGAGCTCCGCGTCCTCCATCGACGTCGACCACGAGCTCCCGGGCGCGTCCGGCCCGCCGCCGGCGGGGATGCCCGTGCAGATCTCCGCCGCGCCCATCTCGCCGACGAGCGTACCGAGCAGGGACGCCGCGCTCTCGCCGGCGAAGGCCGGGCAGCAGGCGGCGAGCGCGGCGCGGAAGGCGCCGGAGTCGAGCACGGCGAGCAGCTCGGGCTCCGCCGCCGCGGACGCCGCCTTCGCCGACGCCTGGACCTCGGCGAAGCGCGCCACCTGGAAGTCGGACATCTTCGCCGAGGCGAGAGGGACAATCACGGCGAGCATGCGCATCATCGGGGGGGCTGCCATCCTGCTTTTCGGCGATTGTTTGACGGCTCCTTGGAGTCTCCTTGGACTTCAAGGGGGCCGCAGACGGCGCCGCGCGCCGACTACTCAAAACTCGCCACGGGAACGGGGGCATTATCGCTTCGCCGCTAGGTAGCATGCGCGCACAGACGCCTCACTTATGCTCGCCGAAGCGCCGCTTGTGGTGGGGCTGCTCGTCGACGCGGCCCGTCATGAGCTTGTCGAAGACGCGGTCGCGGAGCGCCCTGCTCGGCACGAGCGGGTGGGGCAGCTCCGCGCGCGCCTTCGCGGGCGACACGGCGGGCGGCCGCGGGCGGTCGAGGTGCCACTTGCGCGGCGCCTTGGGCGCCTCGTGGCCCCACATCTCCTCGGCGACGGAGCGGTGCACGAGGAGCCGGTCGCGCTGCTCCTTCTCGATGAGCTCGTCGATCTCGGCCGCGGGCAGCGCGACGGGCGGCGGCCGCTGCGAGTCGTCCGCCTGCCGCGTGACCACCGCGCGCCGCCCGAGGCGGTCGTCGCCCTCGGCGTCCCACTCGTGGAGGCGGATCGGGTCCTTGGCCGCGCGGATCGCGCCGAGGATGTGGTTCGCGACGCCGTGGGGCGACGCGGCGGCGACGAGCGCCGCGTCGTCGTTGCTCCGGTCCCGGGGCGTGTGCAGCTCCTTGCGGCGCCGCCGCCGCGTCGCCGCGTCCGCGGCCTCCTCCTCCTCCGAGTCGCCCTCGTCGTCGTCCTCCGCCTCCTCCGCCGCCTCCATCGCGGCCTCGAGCTCCGCGGGCTTCTGGACGCAGAGGTAGTGGATGCGGCGCCAGCAGCGCGTCGCGTCGGCGTTGAGCGGGCCCGTGCGCTCGATGGACGCGAGCTGGGGCTTGAGGTAGCCGAGCTCGCGGCCGATGCGGCTGTCCCGGAGCTCGAGCGCCAGGTTCGACGCGCGCGCGACCGCGACGGCCGCGCGGAGCGTCGACATGACCCACGGCACGACGCGCGCGAGGGACCCGTCGACGTGGCAGGTCTCGTCGAGGGCCTTCATGGCCACGACGAGGCTCTCGGGCACGTCCGCGGCGCCGAGGTTCGCCATGCCCTTGGACGTCGCGCGGCGCGCGATCGCGGCGACGGCCTCGGCCGCGGACCGCGCGAGCTGCTCCTTCATGATCTTGGATTTTTTCATGAGCTCGTCGCCCTCGTTGATGTGCTCCTCCTCCTCGGCGGAGACGGACGTCGCGTTCGTCGCCGAGCCGACGGAGCCGCCGTCGAAGAAGGACCCGCCGTCGTCGCGCGCGAGCGAGTCGCCGTCGCGCGACCTGTGCCGAATTCAAATATTCAACCCGACGTCATTGTGAGCGTACGCGACGGTGTCGACGCGACCTCTTTGGCTCTGCGTCGAGAACTCGACGAGAGCAACCGATTCGTCCAAAAATCAGCCGAATCGACTTCGATTTGACGGAGCTCGAGAGGTTTGAAGTTTGGTCAGGACACCCAAATCAGTGGTTGAATTCGGCACAGCCCGCGACGAGTCGGGCGTCGTGTACGACGTGCCCGACGCGCCGGCCACGGTCCCGAAGGGCGTCGACGAGGCCCCCGTCGCCGCCGTCAGGGGCCCGCCGCCGCTCTTGGTCGAGTCGAGCGTGCCCACGGACCGCACGCTCCCCTGCGACGCCGCGTCCGCGTCCTCCTCCGCGGTGAGCAGCCGGCTCATGGACGCGCGGAGCCTGTCGCGCGCGGCGTCCGCCGCCGCCTCCGTCGCGTGCGCCGCGTCGGAGTCGTCGAAGATCGTCGCGGGGCCCCGGAGCGCCGACGACGCCGCGCGGAGGAACCTGACGTGCGCGGCCGCCGCCGCCGCGTTCTCGTCGCCCGGCGGGCCCTTGACCGACGCGAGGCGCGCGACCTGGAGGAACGCGGCCATGGCGCCCTCGGGGTCCTCGTGCTTCGTGCCGCTGTAGTCGACGGCGAGGCGCACGACGGCCCGGACGCCGCGGATCGCCGCCATCGACGCGACGAACTGCGGCGCCTGGTCCGCGACGTCCAGATTCGGCGGCGGCTGGTGGTGGTGGTTGAGGTAGGTCGCGAGCTCCGCCCGCAGCTTGCGCTTCACGACCCGCAGGCCGCCGTCGCCCTTGGTGTCCTCGGCGCTCGACTTCGTCGCGCGCGTCCGCGCGCGGTCGCCTGGGCGGGACACAAACATACGCAACACGACTTCACGTATTCGCACGGTTGTGACATGTTTTTTTCACCGTAGAGAGACACCGCCGAGAGAAAACGATCCGTCCAAACATCAGCCGAAGCGACTTCGATGTGACCGAGATAGAGAGGTGTGAAGTTTTCGCCGGACGGGGTCGTTTCCGGCGCGGGCGGTCGCGCTCGCGGCGGCGGCCCTCGGCGTCGAGCGCGCGCAGGAAGCCCGACACGGACGCGGCCTCGTGGGTGAAGCGCCCCCAGGCGCCCGGGGGCGTGGCCCAGCGGTCCGCGCGCCGCCGCAGGCTCGCCTCGTCGTCGTCGTCGTCGTCGTCGCTCGCCGGGGGCTTGACGGCGCCGACCTCGGGCGGCGGGCTCGGCCGCGGCCGCACGCGGAGGCCGACGAGGCTGACGACGCCGCCCTCGTTGCGGATGCCGCTCGTGTGGTCCACGCCCGTCTTGAAGATCGCCGCGCCCGCCGAGCCCAGCAGCGCGTGCGCCGCGTGGTCTCCCGGGTCGACGTCGTACCAGAAGCGCGCGCCGTCGCAGGACACGGCGCGCACGACGCCCCCGAAGGACCGGGGCTCGGCGTCCGGGCCCGGCGGGAAGAGGCGCACGCGGCCGTTCGCCGCGTCGACGGAGCCGCAGAGCCGCGGCGCCTGGACGACGACGAGGCGGTCGCCCTTGGCGACCGCGACGTCCTCGGCGACGCCGACGGCGTTCGGCGGCGCCTCGGCGATGGACGACGCGGCGAGCGCCGCCGGGTCGTCGGCCGGGGCGCAGTAGAAGACCTCGGACGGCGCGACCTTGACGAGGCGCGGCACGAAGCGCTCGGGCCGCACGTCCGTCTCGTCCTCCGACTCCGTCGGCGTCACGGAGTAGTCGTCGTCGTCGTCGTGTGCGACGGCGACGACGGGCGCGGGCACGGCGAAGACGAGGCCGCAGCGCTTCGCGGCGAACTCGTGCAACAGCGCGGACCGCGTCGACAGCACCACGGCGCCGTGCTCGGGGAAGTCGGCGTCGCCCCGGAGCGCCGCGATCCGCTCCTTCGGCAGGGAGCACGCGACGCCCTGGCAGCTCCAGAGCCGCTCGCCGCGGTGCAGGCCGTCGTCGAGCTCGCTGACGAAGCACATGGACGTCTTCGCCTGCTCCAGGGTCACCGCGGCCTCGTAGATGCGTCCGCGCGCGGCCGTGCGGTCGCCGGGGTTCGCCAAGCCCGCGAGCTTCCGCGCGTGGCGCTCGCCGACGTCCTCGAGGGCCGACGCGAGGCGCGTGCCCTCCTGGGCGTGCGTCAGCGCGAGCTCCGCGTCGTCGATGGCGTGGCCCTCCGCCTTCGGACGACTGCGCGCCGTCAGGGGCAGCTCGTCGCGCGCCGAACCCGGAGGCTGCCCCTGGCTCGCGGAGGCGTGGCCCGGGGCCGGCCGCCCGCCGCCGGCGACCGCGCGGAGATCGAGGCGCCGCGGCGCCATCGCGAGGCTCGGCAACGACGGCGTCGTCGTCGAGGCATCGGCCATGCTGCCAACGCGCGGCCCGAACTTGCAGCGGGTTGCCCTTGTCAGCCAAAGTTTGCGAACGCCCGCGTGGACAATTCGCGGCGCCTGGCCGACGAGTTTCTCGTCGCCGCGCGCGCCTGCAGCGCCGCAGCCTCCGCTGCGCGAGGCTCGCCATGGTCGCGCGCGCGCTGCTGGCCGTCGCCGCCGCGCTGGCGCTCGCGGCGCCGGCCGCCGCGCAGAAGCGCAACCTCATGCTCACGCCCAAGACCCTCGAGGTCATCGAGCACGCGCGCGACCTCGCGAAGCAGCGGCGGCACACGCAGCTCGAGACGCACCACGTCGCCAGCGCGCTCTTCAGCGACCCGAACACCTTCGCGTCCAAGGTCCTCAAGAAGGCCGGCGGCGACGCGGCCATCGCGAATTCGGAGATCCGCGCGCAGCTGCGCAAGGTCGCGTCGAAGGCGAAGCCGCGGACCGACGACGACGGCGAGCTGCAGAACTCGCGGGCGCTGGACAAGGCGCTCAAGGCCGTCTTCGACGAGAAGAAGGCCCACGGCGACGGGTCCTCGGACGGCGGCAAGGGCACCGTCGCGCACCTGCTGTGCGTCCTTTTGGAGGAGCCGCCGCTGAAGACGGCGCTCGCCAAGTCGGGCGCGACGCTCGAGGCCGTGCGCGACACGGCGCGCGCCGCGGCCAGGGAGTCCTACGAGGCCAAGAGCGAGGAGGTCCACGACACCTTCGACGCGCTGACGCAGTTCGCCGTCGATCTCGTCGCGAAAGCCGAGCTCGGCAAGATCGACCCCGTCGTCGGCCGCGACGACGAGATCCGGCGCTGCGTCCAGGTGCTGTCGCGCCGCAAGAAGAACAACCCCGTGCTCGTCGGCCCGCCGGGCGTCGGGAAGACGGCCATCGTCGAGGGCCTCGCCGCGCGGATCCTCGAGGGCGACGTGCCCGAGGGTCTGCGGAATTCGCGGGTCTGGGCGCTGGACCTGGGCCTGCTGATGGCCGGCGCGTCCGCGCGCGGCGCCTTCGAGGCGCGGCTCAAGGCCGTCATCACGGAGCTCGAGCGCGACAAGAACCAGATTCTATTCATCGACGAGATCCACATGTTGATCGGCGCCGGGCAGACGAACGGGGCCATGGACGCGGCGAACCTCCTGAAGCCGGCGCTCGCGCGCGGCGATCTGAAGTGCATCGGCGCGACGACGGACGCCGAGTACATGAAGCACGTCGAGAAGGACCCGGCCTTCGAGCGGCGGCTCCAGAAGGTCGCCGTGCCCGAGCCGACGGTCGACCAGACCGTGTCTATACTCCGAGGCATCCAGGACAAGTACGAGCTCCACCACGGCGTGCGCATCCTGGACGAGGCCCTCGTCGCCGCGGCGAAGCTCGCGGACCGCTACGTGCCGGCGAAGTACAACCCCGACAAGGCCATCGACCTCGTCGACGAGGCCTGCGCGCGCCGCCGCGTCGAGCTCGACAGCCGCCCGGCGTTCCTCGACGCGCTCGAGCGGCGCGTCAACGAGCTCTCGGGCGAGCTCGAGGCGCTGGAGCGCGAGGCGAAGCTGCAGGCGTCGGGCTTCCTCCAGACCTATTTCCGGAGCGAGACCCAGGCCGACGCGGACGCGGCGCTCGCCAAGAAGCTCGACGCGGTCCGCGCGCGCCACGCCAAGGCCTTCGCCGCGCGGTCCACCGCGCGGTCCGCCTGGCGCAGCGAGAAGGCCCACTACGACGAGCTGCGCGCGGTCAACGCGGAGATCGAGGACGTGGAGCGCGACGCCGCCCAGTACGCGCGGAAGAACCGGCACGCGGACGCCGCGGAGCTCCGCGAGTCGCTCGCGCCGCTGAAGCGGCGCCGCGAGAACGCCGTGGTCGCGGCCCAGCGGGCCGCGAGCAACGCGACCTACTCGGCGACGGACGTCGTCTCGGAGCAGGATCTCGCGGACGTCGTGTCCCAGGCGACGGGCATCCCCGCGACGCGGCTCACGGCCGACGAGTCCGCGAAGCTGCTCGCGCTGAGCGAGCGCCTCGCGCGGCGCGTCGTCGGCCAGCGGGCCGCGACGGACGCCGTCGCGGACACGGTGCTGCGGAGCCGCGCGGGCCTGGCGGGCGCGTCGCGGCCGCGCGGCGCGTTCCTCTTCCTCGGGCCGACGGGCGTCGGCAAGACGGAGACGGCCAAGGCGCTCGCCGAGGAGCTCTTCGACGACGCGACGGCGCTCGTGCGCCTCGACATGTCCGAGTACGCGGAGAAGCACGCCGTGAGCCGCCTCGTCGGCGCGCCGCCGGGCTACGTCGGCCACGACGACGGCGGCCAGCTCACGGAGGCCGTGCGCAAGCGGCCCTACTCCGTCGTGCTCCTCGACGAGGCGGAGAAGGCGCACCGCGACGTCTTCGACACGTTCCTCCAGGTCCTCGACGACGGCCGGCTCACGGACTCCAAGGGCACGACCGTCGACTTCACGCACACCTACGTGATCATGACGGGCAACGCGCCGCTCAACCGGGTCAAGGACGTCTTCCGGCCCGAGTTCCTGAACCGGCTCGACCGCGTCGTCGGCTTCGAGCCCCTCGCGCGGCCCGCGCTCGAGGCCATCGCCGCGAACCACGTCCGCGACCTCGCGGCGCTCGCGCGCGACGAGCACGGCGTCGACCTCGCCGTCGCGCCCGCGGCGGCGGCGGCCATCGTCGACGCGAACGCCGGCGACGTCGGCGTCTACGGCGCGCGGCCGCTCCGCCGCTACGTGGACCAGGTCGTCGCCACGGACCTCGCGAAGCTCATCCTGGGCAAGGGCGTCCCGCCGAGCAAGCGCGTCGTCCTCGACGTCCGGAGCGGCGACCTCGGCTTCTACCCGGCGGCGCCCGAGGGCGAGCTCTGAAAATCCGGACGAGTTTTGTTGTAAACTAGCAGATCGCCACTGAACGGGTTTTTCTATCCGACGCGCGCGTTCAAAAGTCCTCGAGGAGGAAGAGCGCCGTGAGCGCGGCGACGAAGACCGTGCAGAAGGTCGCGGGCGTCGCGCGGCAGAAGGCGGCGAGCGTCGACTCCGGCGCCGTGTCGCGCGCCATCTTCGCGACGCGGCCGTCCGCGGCGGCGCGCGTCGCCTCGGCGTCGGCGAGTGCCGCGGCCGCAGCCCCCAACGGCGGAGCGACGACGGCGTCGCCCGCGGCCGCCGCCGACGACGACGCCGCGAGCGCGACCTCGTCGATCTCGAAGAACGCGCGCACGGCTCGTAGCTCGAAGAGGCTGCCGCCCGTCGCGTTCTTCGAGGTCACGAGCTGCTCGCAGAGCCGCGCGAGCAGGTCGACGCGCTGCGCGGCGAAGGGCGAAGTCGGCGACGTCTCGTAGTAGTTGCCCGCGAGGCCCTGGCCCGTGAGCAAGGCGCTGTGCGCGGGGAACGCGTCGAGGCGCGCGCCCGCGGCGGCCGCGGCGGGCCGCAGCGCGTCCCAGAACTTCTTGACCTCGGAGAAGCGGCGGTGGAGCTCCCAGGACCCGCCGCCCGTCTTGACGTCGAAGACGTAGTAGAGGTTCGTGCCGGGATAGAGCACGAAGCCGCCGGGCTGGTCCCGCTTCTCGACGCAGCGCGAGATGGTCACGAGGATCGCCGGCGCGCCGGCGGACCGCGGCGTCGGCGGCTGGACGTTCTGCTTGCGCGGCGGGCTCGACGGCGGCGTCTGCGGCGCCATGGCCCACCGACGCTGCCACCGGTGGCCGACGCTCGTCGACGGAGGCTTGGCTGGCGGCACCTCGAAGTGTTGAAGGTCAACATGCCGTTTTCAATCACGCAGCGCAGGCTGCCTCTGCTCGCTCGGATCCGAAGCCGAGTCTGGCGTCTGGCAGTGCAATTCACAAGGCGGCATGGCTGCGATCGTCGAGCAGGTGACCGTCACGAAGCTGGTCGACATCCCGGCCTTCGCCTTTTATGATGGCACGGGCATCCCCATGATCGACGAGGCCATGGCGGCCTTCGACGGCGCGCCGCTGCCCGATGACCTGCCGGCGCAGATGCTCGACCATTGCGCCGACAACATGCAACGGCTCGGCACGGAGCGGGAGCTGAAAGAGTTCCTGACCACGGGCAGGTCGAACCGGCGACCCATGTGCTACGCGCGCATGGTCATCCCGGCCGGGAGGATGTTCGGCATCCACCGCCACCCGAACGTCGAGATCATCCACATCGTGAGAGGCTGCCTCGTCGAGGACCGGCTCAAGGGCAGGGCGACCTTCTTCGGCCCCTTCGCCGAGGGCAAGGCGGCCGAGTACGGCCTCGACCTCGCGGACGAGACGCCCGACGACCTTGTCACGAAGCGCTGGGGCCCGGGCGAGGCCCTCGGCGCGAACCTCTCGAACGAGATCGGCTCCGTGCACCGGAGCTACTGCGCCGCGGACCAGGGCTGCGAGCTCTTCGTGCTCTGGGGCGGCTGCCGCGCGTCCGTCGCGAAGCCGCCGACGTACATATGAGCGGCCCGTCCTAAGCGGCGCCCCGCCGTCCTCTTAATAAGGAAACAAGGTCCGCTTACGCCCGACGGGGGCGGGAAGCGCGCTCAGTCGTAGTACTTGGCGTTCTTCTTGCGCGTCTTGCGCGGCTTGGGCGCGCAGCACGTCTTGTAGAAGATCGCGATCACCGCGAAGAGGAAGAGGAGCGTGGGCGAGACGGCGACGGCGGCGAAGACGTAGGAGCCGAGCTGGAAGGAGCCGATGTGGAACTGGTGGACGGACTCGGGGATGTAGTTCGCCGCGAGGATGCCGCCCTTGGGGAGCTCGTGGAGCAGGAGGTGGAAGCCGTGCTCGTGGTGCTTCGACTCTCCGGGCAGCCGCTCCTCGGAGGACGTGCCGTCCGGGTAGATGGTCACGCTGTACTTCTTGCCGTCGCGGTGCACCGTGCCCGTCACCTGGGTGCCCAGCTCCCACTTGCGCCAGAGGTGCTTGCCGAAGTAGCCGTGGAAGTACGCCGACGCCCGCTTGTACGCGGACGCCTCCGCGTACAAATCCAGGTGGTGGCCGCCGTTGAGCGCCGCGTCGTAGCGCGCCCGCGCCTTGCGGTTGCTCAGCACCTCGAAGGCCTGGTACTGGCGCACGAAGTTGGCCTTGGCGTAGTGCTTGTCGAACGCCGTCATGTCCTTGTGCGGGTGGTAGCGGAGCGAGTTGATCAGATAGGCCTGCTTGATCTCGTCGAAGGTCGAGTCCTTGGCCTTGCCCAGGCCCATCTCGTCGTAGTGGCTGAAGGACCTACGGTGGCACGCGGATGGTCGCGCGCCGCGCGCGGCGGCGTCCCGCACCCGTCGGAGGTCTGGGACCAGTCGAAGCCCGTGTCCTCGGCGTACTTCTTCGTCTTCTTCTCCTTGGACCGCACGTCGGCCACCGCCGCGCACGGCAGCAGCAGCGCGAGGGCCCAGCGCATCTTTCGACGACGAGAGCGCGCAGCGAAACGAACGAGCGGGCAGCCGCGGAGCCAGGCGCTGTGGGGCGCTTGGTCGACGGTGCGGCAACAACACGTTTCCACGGTGCCGTCGAGTGTGAGGATGGCGCAGCGAGCACTTTGCGAGCTGCTGCCGTGCGCGCTCTGACCTCTTCGTGAAGACCATGGCCGACGATCCCGGCGCCGCCGAGGCGCGCCTCGCCATCGTGCGCTTCGGCGTCATCTGCCTGAAACACATGCGGCGCGTCGCCCTCGGCGCGCGCCTCGCGCTCATCGCACTGGGCCTCGCCGTCGACGCCCTGCGGCCGCTGGGCCTGCGCTACACGGACGTCGACTACGACGTGCTGCGCGACGGCGCCGCGGCCATGGTCGCCGGCGCCGCCGGCGGGCCCTACGCGCGCGCGACGTTCCGCTACAGTCCTTTGCTCGCGCTGCCGCTCGTCGGCGACGTCGCCGCCGCGGGCCTGCCCGTGGGCAAGGTCGTCTTCGCCCTCGCCGACGTCGCGCTCGGCGCGCGCGTCGAGGCGCTGCTCCGCGCGCGGGGCCTCTCGGCGAACCGCGCGGCGGCGCTCGCGGCCGCGGGCTGGTATCTGAACCCCGTCGCGCTCAACCTGTGCACGCGCGGCAGCGGCGACGCGGCCGTCGCGGCGCTCGTCGCGGGCGCCCTCGTCGCCGCGGCGGCCCCGGGGCTCCGCGGCGCGGCGGCCGCGGGCGCGGGGCTCGGCCTCGCGGCGCACGCGCGGCTCTACCCCGTCGTTCACGCGCCGGCGTTCGCGCTCGCCTTTTTGCGACGCGACGGCGTGACTCGCGCGCTCGCCTTTGGCGGCGCCTTCGCCGCCGCGGCCGCCGCGCCGACGGCCCTCGCCTATTTCTGCTACGGATCGACCTACGTCGACAACGCGCTGGCCTACCACGTGACGCGCCTCGACCACCGCCACAACCTCGCGGCCTTCTGGCTGCCCATCTACGCCGTCGAGGGCCTCCCGGGCGGCTCGCGCTTCAAGCCGCTCCTGCGGCGCGCGCTCGCCGTCGGGCCCTTCCTCGCGCACGGCGCGCTCCAGGCGGCGGCGGTCAGGGCAGGACAAGAGAGCGAAATTCCAAACTTCGAAGGCTCCTTTCTCGGCCGTTTTCCACTCGTTTCGGCTGATTTTTGGACGAGCGATCATCTCTCGGAGCGGTCTCGAAGCGTGCATGCGTTTTCCGGAACGCGCGCGCGCGGAACACTCACGTTGAAGCGACGTTGAATCTCTCTTGTCCTGCCCAGGCGGCGGTCGTCGGACTGCGCCGCGACCTCGCGGCGACGGTCTTCGCGCAGACGCTCCTCTTCGTGGCGGCGAACAAGGTCTGCACGGCGCAGTACTTCTGCTGGTGGCTGCCCTTCGCCGTCGTCGTCGCCGGGCCGGGCCTCGTCCACGCGCGCCACGGCGCCGCGAAGCGGCGGACCGTCGCGCGCGCGCTCGGCTCCTGGGCCGCGGCGCTCGCGGCCTGGCTGGCCGTCGCGTTCCGCTTGGAGTTCGCCGGCGACGCGGCCCACGGCCCGCTCTGGGCCCTGGGCCTCGGCTTCCTCGGTGCCAACGCGGGGCTCCTCGCCGCGGTCCTCGACGCGGGCGGCGTGTCCTAACTCGGGCGTTGTACGACACTACCGCTTCCACTTAGAGCGCGCCGAGCCCTCGCGCTCCGCGGCGAGGCGCCGCGACTCCTTCGCCTTCCCCTCGGACGTGCGCCAGTCCGCGCGGCGGTGCGTGAAGACGACGAGGCTCCACCGCTCGCCGGACGTGACGTCGCCGACCGCGTGGGCCACGTCCGCGTCGTGCGCCGCCGCGCCGCCCAGCCCGCGCGGCGCGGCGACGACGGCGCCGTCGGCGAGGAGCAGCAGGTCGCCGCCCGCGTAGCCGTCCTCCGCGGAGAGGTTGACGCTGATCGACGCGTCGCAGCCGTCGCAGTGGAAGCCGAGCCGCGGCCGGCTCGACGGGCTGTACTTGCGCACGAAGGCCGTCGCGTCCTCGGGCGTCGCGCCCAGGATCGCCGCCGCGGCGCCGAGGAGCCGGTCCCGCGCGTCGCGGCCCAGGAGCTCGCCGAGCGACGGGACGTCGACCTGGTGCGCGGGCGCGCCGTCGACGGAGTCGATCTCCGTGCTCGCGGCGCCCGTCGCCGCGGACAGCATGTGCTTCGCGCCCCAGGTCCGGAGGCTGGCCGCCTCCGCCTCGGAGAGGACGCCGTCGACGAACGCTGTGGCGCCTTGTCGAAGGAGCGCTTTCTCGGCGCGCGCGAGGTCCTCCGGCCGCAGCGGCAGCGACTTGAGGAGATGCCGCGCGTCGACGTTTTCGATGCTTCCGCGCAGCACCTTGTTCACGTTCTTCGGCGTCTGCGATTCGACGAGCGCGAAGAGCGGGTGCGGGCGCAGTGCGAGCGCGCTGGCTAGTAGTGGGAGCAGGAGGAGTCGTCGTACGCGCATGTTTGGTGCGTGATCGCGCGACTCGTTCTGGAGCGTTTTGGATGAGTTTATGCGTTCGCGGAGCAACAAACGCGCCCTACAAAGGGCAAAAGAACAGGCCCATTGCAAAATCCTTGTGGCAAAGGCTGATCGAGCAGCGGCCGATCGGCGATGGCCGCCGCCGTCGCCGTCCCAGTCGACGCCCTGGGCAGCGCCCACGGCACAGTCGGCGCCCTGGCGGCGCCCGCAGCAACGCCGCTCAACACCCTAACAACACCCGCAGCACCGCCGCTCAACACCCTAACAACGCCCACAACACAGTCGACGTCGTCCCTGTCGACGCCCGCGGCGCTCTTCGCCGAGGCCGCGGCGCTGCGCGGCGACCGCGAGGCCTGCCTCGTCAAATGCCGGGTCCTCAACGACCGGTACCCGGCGCACGCGCGCGCCTGGGCGCTGCGGTCGACGCTCGAGCTCGACGCCGCGACGGCCCTGGGCTTCGCCGAGCGCGCCGCGGCGCTCAAGCCGGAGCTCCCGGACGCGGGAAAAGCGCTGCGGCTCGCGCTCACGCGCCGCGCCCGCGGTGTCGGCGGCGCGGCGGAGCGGGCCGCGCTCCTGGAGCGCGCCGCGCGCCTGCGCCCCGCGGACGCCGAGGCCTGGTTTCGCCTCGGCCGCTGCCACCGCGAGGCCAAGGACGCGGCCCGCGCCGCGGCCGCGTACCGCGAGGCCGCGGCGCTCGACCCGGACCACGAGCGCGCGACGTTCTGGCTCGCGGCCTGCGAGGGCCGCGCCGTCGCCGGGCCGCCGCTGGACCACGTGCGCCGCCTCTACGACGGCTACGCGGACCGCTACGACGACCACCTCACGTCGGCGCTCGGGAGCCGCGCGCCGCGGCTCGCGGCCGAGGCGCTCGCGCGCGCGTTATCGGACGGCCCGGCGGCGCGCGTCTTCGACCTGGGCTGCGGCACGGGCCTCTCGGGCCTCGCGCTCCGGGCCGCGGGCGTCGTCGGCGGGGACCTGTTCGGCGTGGACCTCAGCGAGGCCATGTGCGCGAAGGCGCGCGAGACGGGCGCGTACGCGTCCGTTCAAGCCGGCGAGCTCCGCGCGTTTTCCCGCGTCTCTTCGGACTTTTTCCCGCGGGGCTCGATGACGAAGAATTCGTCGGGCGGACTGACATCGCGGCGCCGCAGCGATGCGGCGCCGCCCCTGATGACAACTCGACAATTCATATAGACTTCACCTTCCGCCGAGAGCTCGACGACGGTTCTTCGGGCGTTCCGAGCGTCCGGGGAGCGCCCCGACCCCCCCGCCGCGCAGGCGCGGCGCTCGAGGCGAGCGGCGGCGGCTACGACGCGTTGTGCAGCAGCGACACGCTGCCCTACTTCGGCGACCTCGCGCCGTTCTTCGCCGCGGCCTTCGCGGCGGCGAACGCGGGCTGCGTGCTCGGCCTCACGCTCGAGGACACGCTCCCGGGCGCGGCCGCCGACTACCACGTCGCGCTGAGCGGCCGCTGCCGCCACGCGCCCGGGTACGCGACGTCCGCCGCCGAGGCCGCGGGCTGGGCGACCGTCGCCGCGACGTCGGCGACGCTCCGGCGCAACGCCGGCGCGGACGTCGCGGGCACGGTCTACGTGTTTCGTAAGCCCTAGTTGTGTGCGCTGGAGAAGATCGACGTCGGCGCCCGCGTCCGCGCCTCGGGCTCGCCCGCGCCTCAGGCTCGCCCGCGCCTCAGGCTCCGCCGATCGGAAAGCCGTCTCCTTACATACAGGCTTACTAGCCTGAGTTCTACTACGCCCCTTGGAAGTACCTGAGGCCTACCTATGCCTCTCCCTCTCCCTCGGCGAGTCCCCGTCCGCGAGGTCTCCGGCGAGGCGCGGCCGCGCCTCGCTCGCCGGTGCGCGCCTCGCGCCGCGGCCGCCGACGAACCGGCCCACATCCACCTCGCGCGCGCGCGCTCCGCGGCCTCCGCGTGTTAGCCGACCCTCGCCTCGCGCGCCGCCCCCGAGCCGACGGCGGCGAGGATGGCCGCGTTGCACGCTTCCGGGTTCTCGAGGTGGATCTGGTGGCCCGCGTCCGGCACGAGCACGAGCTCCGCGCCGAGGTCGGCGACCGCGCGCTCCGTGAGGCCGTTGAGCATCCAGTCGCGCTCGCCGTAGAGCACGGTCGTCGGCGGGAGCGACGGCGCGCGCGGGTCGTCGACGAGCGCGCGGCGCGCGTAGATGCCCCGCAGCGCGTCGTCGCGGTCCGCGGGCTTGAACAACGTCGTCAGCACCCACTCGCTGCTCCCCGGCAGGGCGTTGATGTTGTAGAGGTAGTCGGCGAAGGCGTCGGGCACGTCGCCCGCCCGGCGGTACAAATGCTTGACGACGGGCCGCGCGCGCCGGCTCTGGTCGCCCAGGAGCCGGATGAGCCTGTGCCGAATTCAACCACTGGTTTGGGGGGTCCTGACCAAACTTGAGAATTCTCTAGCTCGGTCAAATCGAAGTCGATTCGGCTGATTTTTGGACAAATCGATTGCTCTCATCGAGTTCTCGAAGCCAAGCCGAAGAGTCCGGCGCAATCCGTTCAATTACGCGCACATTGAAGTCGGGTTGAAGATTTGATTTCCACGCAGGGATGAGCGATTGGGGCGTGACGTGATAGTCCCACAACGCCACGAGCGGCCGCCCGAACGAGAAGCACGCGTAGCGCGGCCGCGCCGCGGCGGCGAGCGCCGCTTCTAAAGCGTCGTCGTCCAGCCCCTCCGGGTGGCGCGGCACGCCCGCTGGCGACACGAGGACGAGTTTGTCGACGGCGCCGGGGTGGCGCAGCGCGTAGTGCGCGGCCAGGAAGCCGCCGACGGAGTGGGCGACGAGCGTGAACGGCGCGCCCGCCGGCAGCACGCGCCGCCGCCAGGCCTCGAGCGAGTCCGTGAACCAGGCGACGGCGCCGTCGGCGACGTCGTCGTCGCCCGACGTCTCCGCGCGCGCGAGCGGCGTCGGCCGCGCCGCGCGCGCGAGCGGCGTCGGCCGCGCGGGGAACCCGCCCGGCCGGTCGCTGCAGCCCTGGCCGAGCCAGTCGAAGGCGAGGACGCGGCGCCGCGCGTCGACGGCTAGAGTCTCCAGGTTCCGGAAGAAGACGCCCTTGCCCGCGCCGAAGCCGTGAGCGACGACGATCGGCGACGCCGTCTCGACGCGCGGCGGGTCGACCGCGACCGTCGAGATCTTCACGGGGTGCGGGATCTGCGGGATGACGATCTCGGGCGCGAGCCGGTCGACGCGCGCCTTCGTCGTCGATTTGATGAGGAGCTCCTCCTCCGCCGCGAGCGCCTTGGCCAGGCGCGTCTGCTGCGTCGTCTGCGCGAAGAAGGTCGGCAGGAGGCTCCGGGGGAAGCGGCGCTCCCGGGGCGTCGCGGACGCGGCGAAGCGGCGGACGATCATGCGTCGCATGGGTGCTTCGGGTCCGAATCTCAAAGCTTAATCGTCCTCCATCGATTGGTTCCGAGGCGCGAGCAGATCTCAACCAGCTTTTTGAGGTTTGTTGTGGCAATTTGGACGGCGCGACGAGCTGCTGCGAGGAGCAGCCGCGCGCGGCCTCGAGCGCCGCGGCTAGATCACGCGCGCGCGAGCTGTAAAAAAAACAGCAGCAGATGGACTACATGCCCGACCCCAGCGCGCCGTCGCCGCCGCCGCCGCGGCAGCAGTCGCCGCGGTCCGACGCGACCTTGACCGGCGCCACGCCGCCGCCGAAGCGGTCCAAGTGGAACTCGCGCACGGAGTTCCTGCTCGCCACGGTCGGCAATTGTGTCGGCGTCGGCAACGTCTGGCGCTTCCCGTACCTGTGCTACCGCAACGGCGGCGGCTCGTTCCTCGTGCCCTACTTCCTCGCGCTCCTCCTGCTGGGCATGCCGCTCTTCCTCCTCGAGCTCGCGCTGGGCCAGCGCTTCGAACTGGGCGCGACGCACGCCTACGGCAAGCTGCACCGGCGGTTCCGGGGCGTCGGCGCCGCGGGCACCTTGATGGCCTACGTGTGCCTCTGGTACTACAACGTCATCCTCGCGTGGACCGTGGTCTACGCGGCGCACAGCCTGCGGCCGCGAGTGCCCTGGGGCGCGGACGGCGTCGACGCGGAGCGCTTCTGGGAGGCGCAGGTGCTCCACGAGTCGTCGGGCTTCGACGACTTCGGCGAGCGCGGGCCCGCGTCCGCGGCGCTCTTCTTCGCGCTCGTCCTCTCCTGGACGTGCCTGTTCCTCGCGACGCGGCACGGCGTCCACAGCGCGGGCAAGGTCGCGTACGTCGCCGCGACGGCGCCCTACGGCATCCTCGTGTTGCTGGTGATCCGCGGGCTGACGCTCCGGGGCGCGGCCGAGGGCCTGAAATTCTACGTGAGGCCCGACGCGCGGAAGCTCGCGACGCCGCGGCCCTGGCTCGACGCGGCGAACCAGATCGTCTATAGCCTGGGCGTGGGCACGGGCCAGATGATCGCCTTCGGGAGCTACAACCCGGCCGACGAGGACGTCGTCGCGGACTCGCTCGCCATCGCCGGGGCAGGAAAAGAGTGCGACATTCCCAAGGCGCATCTCTCGGCCGTTTTCCGCTCGTTTCGGCTGATTTTCGGACGAGCGATCATCTCTCGGAGCGGTCTCGAAGCGTGGGTGCTTTTTCCGGAACGCGCGCGCGCGGACCACTCGCGTTGAAGCGAACTTGAATCACTCTTTACCCTGCCCAGGCCATCGCGGCGTTGAACTCGTGCACGTCGCTCTTCGCGGGCGTCGCGGTCTTCGCCATGCTCGGCCACAAGGCGCGGCGCGACGGCGCGGACGTCGGGGACGTCGTGGCGAGCGGCGAGGGCCTGGCCTTCGTCGCCTACCCCGACGGCTTATCTTCGTTGCCCGCCGCGGGGCTGTGGTCGTTCCTCTTCTTCGTCATGCTCTTCGCGCTGTGCCTGGATTCGGGCATGGCCATGCTCGAGTGCTGGACGACGATGCTGCGCGACTTCGGCGTCTTCTCCCACGACGCCGAGGAGCGGTGGACGGTGCTGGGACGGCGGCCGCGGAGCCAGGACGTGGTCGTCGGCGGCTCGTGTCTCTTCGGCTTCTGCGGAAGCCTGCTCTTCATCACGCGGCCGGGCATCTACTGGTTCGCGCTCGTGGACCGCTACGTCATGTGGGGCGTCTTCCTCGTCGCCGCCGTCGAGTGCTGCGGCGTCGCGCACGTCTACGGCGCGCGGCGCTTCGCGGACGACGTCCGGAAGGCGACGGGCCGGGCGGTGCCGCGCTTCTTCCTCTTCGCCTGGAGCTGGGGCACGCCGGCCTTCTGCGTCCTCCTCGCGGGCGCGTCGTTCCAGAGCGCCTTCGCGGACTCGACCTACGAGGGCGCGCGGTCGACGGCGAGCGCCAAGGCCATCGGGTTCCTGCTCATGGTCGGGCCCGCGTGCCTGATGGCCGGCGGCGCCTTCGAGCGGCCGTCGCCGTCCTACTGCGCCGTCGAGAAGCCCGCCGCGAGCGTCGAGCTCACGGCCGTCGCGGCCGCGTCGCCGACGAAGGGGGGCGGGCGGCTCGCGCGCGCGGCGTCGGGCGCCGAGTTCGTGTAATTTGTTTGAGGTTGAGAGTGCACTAGTGCATGACGATGGGCTGCTCATAGGGTTCCAGGGCTGCGATTCGGCCTGCGACGGCCGACGCCGCGCTGCCGACGAGATGACGGCCGCGTACCTGCTGCTGCTGCCGCTCCACGTCGCGGCGACCTGCACCGAGCCGGTCGAGACCTGGCTCCTGCACCACCGGCGGAGCGGCTCGACGAGCCTGCGCAACTGGCTGGCGAACCTCAGCGGCCCGAAGCGCTGGTTCTCGCTCCAGGTGTCGCCGCGCTACTTCAACGACACGGCGTCGGTGACGCCCGCCTGCTGGGACCTGGGTGCGCGCTACCGCGCGCTGGGGCGGCCGGCGCCGCGCGCCGCGGCGACGGTCACGCACCTCCGGGAGCCCCTGGCGCGCGTCGCGTCGGAGTTCGCCTACCGCGGCCCCGCCGGCGACGCCGCCGAGGCCTGGCGCGCCTGGCTCTCGCCCGCGGCGCGCTGGTCGCGCGACGGCCTCTACGGCCCGCCGGGCGGCCCGCGGGCGCGCTGGGCGCCCGTCGACGACTACTACGTGCGGAGCCTCGCGCCGCGGGGCTGCGAAGGCGCCTGCGCCCCGGGCCCCGCCTTCGGCCGCATGGGCACGCTCGGCTGCGAGGTGGCTTGGCCGCCGCCGCGCCTCGGCGACGGCGACCTCCGGCGCGCGATGGACGCCGTCGAGGGCCACGTCGACGCCGTCGTCGTCGCGGAGCTCTCCGGCGACCCGGCGCTCCACGCCTGGCTCCTCGAGGACGTCCTCGGGGGCTGCGTCCGGCCCGAGGCGCCGCGGCGGCCGCCGAGCATGAACGCGCGCAAGGCGCGCTTCGCGGCGCCGCCGGCCGCGGTCCTCCCGGAGCTGCGGCGGCGCAACGCGCTGGACCTCGCGCTCTACGCCTGGGCGCGGAACCGCACGGCACATCTCATAAACAAAAGTCGCTAGCAGTTCGTCGCGGAGCGGTCGTGGCAGAGGTTCGCGATGACGTGCGTGTACTCGCCGACGTCGACGCCGAGCTCCGCGGCGACGTGGTGGAGCGCCGTGGCGAAGAAGTGGATGTTCTTCGGGAAGATGGACGCGTTCTGCATGCGGAGCACGGCCGTGCAGCAGAGCTTGCCGTCCTCGAGGAAGAGGTACAGCTCCCGGCAGCACTTCGTCTGGCCCTGGTCGCGCCAGTCGACGGCCTTGGAGCCCTCGGTCGCGAAGGGGATCGGGATCGTCGCGCGCTTCGAGTTGCCGTGGGTCTTAAGGCAGTCGATGGCGTTGGCGAGCTTCTCCGGCATGCCGTCGCGGTAGTCGCCCTGCGCGCCGCCGCGCTCCGGCGTCCGGTACTTGGCGACGTCCTCGTCGGTGACGGCGTGGCCCATGTTCCACTTCGTGTAGAACTCGAGCGCGTCCCGCGGGAACAATTCCGTCTCGACGAGCGCGGCCCCGGGCGACGACAGGTCCTCGATGACGGCCATGTAGTTGTGGACCGTGTAGTCGCCGCCGGCCTTCGTGAGCTCGCGGATGTCGGCGTAGAGGTCCTTCGCCGTCGCGTGGCGCGGCAGCAGGTGCTGCATGGGGCTGTAGACCATGGTGCGGCGGCCGGCGGCGCGGACGGTCGAGCTGAGAGCGGTGCGGAGCATCGAGCTGCCACAAGTCGCCGAATCGTCAACGCTAAAATCGTCTTTAATTGAAGGCAAAAGAGGAGCAACAACAACCGCGAAACTTTTGGTCACGAAAGCCCGCTCGTTCACAAGCTTCTCGAAGTCACGCCGCTGCCGCCGCCCAGATGACGAAAACGACGCTCATCCGCACGTTCCGCTGCGTCGCCAAGTCCCACGCCGTCGCCTGCTGGCGCATGATCAAGGGCGCGCGCACCCGCGTCGTGCGCAAGCCGCTGGCGCCGCGCGCCGCCCAGGCCCTGGCCCGCTGCGGCGGCGCCGCGCGCGTGCCGGGCCTCGACTACGACGGCGCCGACGCCGCCCCGGCGGCGCTCGCGCCGCGCGCCGCGGCCGGCGTCGGGCCCGCGACGGCCTGCGGGACGCTCGCGGCGCGCGCGGCGCTGCGGGCGCTCGCGACGCCCGCGCCCAAGGCCCGCGCGTCCGCGCCCGGCGCGCCGGCCAAGGCGGCGCGCGCGGGCGCGCGCGTCCGCGCCGCCCCCACGCGCCTCGACCTCTGCACGGGCCGGCCCGACGGCGCCTGGCGCGACCCGTCCGCGAAGAAGGCCGTGACCTTCACGTACGTGGGTCGCGGCGACGCCTTCGCCAACAAGCACGGCGACGCCTTCGCGGCCCTCTACTGCTCCATGCTCCCGCGCATCCCGAGCTGGCACGTGCGCGACGTCGTCGCGGAGCGCCTCGCCGGCGGCTTCTACGCGCTCGACGAGGCCGGCGCCGTCGTCGGGGGCCTCGTCTTCCGCCGCGCGGCCGCGGACTGCTTCGAGGTCTCCTTCCTCTGCGTCGCGTCGTCCCACGGCGGCGTCGGCGTCGGCTCGACGCTCGTCGACAAGCTCGCGGCCCTCGCGCGGCGCCGCCGCGTCGCGCGCGTCGTCACGCACGCGGACGAGGACGCGGTCTCCTTCTGGGCCGAGCACGGCTTCGCCAAGGCCCCCGTGCCCAAGAAGCTCGACAAGTGGATCAACCACTACTCGGCCTCGACCTTCATGGCCCTCGCGCCCTAGGGTGCGCCGCGTAAGGTCCGCCCCTAGTTGAGGAAGCCCCGGCCGAAGCCCGCGCCCAAAGCGCGCGCCTTCTTCCGCGCGGCCTTGGCCTGGGACGCGAGGGCCTCGGCGTCCCCGGAGATGTCGAAGTCACCGTCCTCGAGCAGCTCCATGGCGTCGCCGGCGGGCGCCGGCGGCGGCGCGTCGCGGTTCACGCGGAGGTGGCCAAAGGGCACCGTCGCGCGCGACTCCGGCGCTTTGGGCGCGTCGGGGAACTTGGCGCGCTCGGCCTCCTCGATGAGGTTCTTCGCCCGCACGTACTCGGCGCACTCCTCCAGGGACGGCTCGCCGTGGGTCCGCGCGCGCTTCGCGAGCTCCGCGGCGCGGACCTTCGCCGCGGCGCGGATCTTCTCCGGGTCGTCGTCGGGCCAGGGCTTGCGCCGCACGGGCTCGTCGGTGTCGCAGGACGTGCAGACCAGGTCCGCGCGGAGGCGCTCGAGGTGCGTCAGGGGCTTCTTCGGCGGCGGCGCGGGGCCGTCGTCGATGCGCGACAGGTCCTCGACGACGGGCCTGCGTGGACATCAAATCTTCGAGCCGACTTCACTGTGCGCGTAATCGACGGCTTCGACGCAATCTCTTTGGCTGTGCTTCGAAAACGCGACGAGAGCCATCGATTCGTCCAAAAATCAGCCGAATCGACGTCGATGTGATCGAGAACGAGAGGTTTGACGTTTGGTGGGGACCCCCCGAACCAGCGGTCGATTTCCACGCGGCGACGGGCTCGTCCAAGTCCGCGGGGTCGACGTCCCGCCGACTCGTGTCGACGAAGTTCGGCGGCGGCGGCACGTCCAGCGCGCTGGCCTTGGCGATCCAGGACGCGGCCCAGAACGTCTTCTTGCGCCGCCTCGCGTCCGCGACGTCGTAGTCGACCTGGGCAGCAAAAGGATGATTCAACGTCGCTTCAACGTGAGTGTTCCGCGCGCGCGCGTTCCGGGAGAAGCATCCACGCTTCGAGGCCGTTCCAAGAGATGATCGCTCGTCCAAAAATCAGCCGAAACGAGTGAAAAATGGCCGAGATCGAAGCCTTTGAAGTTGGGAATTTCGCTCTCTTTTGCTGCCCTGTAGTCGGCCAGCTTGTCGAGCACGAAGAACTTCTGCAGCTTCTCCCGCCACTCGAGCCACGTGCGCTGCTCCGCGTACTCGCCGTCGCGGCTCAGCGTGAAGCGGTCCGGCCCGTCGTCGCCGTCGGCGGCCTTGGGCTTCTTGCGCGCGACCCGGGCCTCGGCGATGACAAAGGACCCGCCCGGCGTGAGCGACCGGCGGATCTTCGAGAGCGCGGCCTCGAGGAGGTCCCAGGGCACGTGCTTGAGGCTGTCCACCGCGAAGGCGCCGTCGAAGGTGCCGCCCTCGCCCTCGCCGAAGAACGACGCCTCGAAGAACTCCTGCTCGCGGAACTCGCACTTGAAGCCGACCTTGCGTTGTTCCGCGCGCGCCGCCGCGAGGCCGCACATGCCCGCGGAGCCGTCGACGCCGACGAAGTCGATGCCCACGCGGCTCCGCGCGAGCTCGACGGCGTCGCGGCCGCCGCCGCTGCCGAGCTCCAGGATGCGCAGGCCGTTGTGCGCGCGGCCCGCGGCCATCTTCGCGACCGCGGACTCGCGCTTCATCTTGTGGTCCCGCAAACTCCGAAACAAGAGCTCCGCCGGCGGGCTCAGGTCCTTCAGGGGGTCCTCGACCTCGGGCGGCGGGTCCGCCTCCCATTTCAGCGCCAGCGAGTTGAAGTGGGCCAGGGTCCGCGAGATCGCCACCGCCGCCGGGATTTTGGGGCCCCGGGGCCGCCGCCAGGCGATGTCCTGGTTCACCTTGATCTGCTCCTTCTTCGCGCGCTCGGCCCAGTACTCGCCCTGGTGGTCCGGCACCTCCATGACGAACTCGACGAGCTTCTCGCTCACCCAGCCGTGCACCGGCGAGATGATCAGCAGCCGGAGCGTCCCCGCGGAGTTGAGCGCGCGGTGCACGGCGACGACGTCGCTCATCGGCGCCAGCGTCTTGACGATGCGCGACTTGAGCTCCTGGTGCGTGCGCACGATGGCCCCCTTGACGACGCGCTCGGGGATCTTGCACACCGCCGGCACCTTGAAGGCCACGGGCATGGCCGCGATGACGGCGCGCTCCTGGCCCGCCTCCTCGGCCTGCGCCCGCCGCGCCGCCTCGAAGACGGCGCCGTTGAAGTCCACGGGCTGGAGGCCGCCCGCCATGGCGTCGACACACGCCGCCGGAGAAAGACGACTTCGATGGTGGAGCGTGTGGAGAGCGCCGAGGCGGGCTGCTGCAACTTACTACAAGATCATCGTGCAAGATCGCGAAACTTTGGGCAGCAAGGGCGGCCTCCGCCGCGCGTGGTTAGGATCTCGACATCGCTTGTCGTCCCATTGCTCCAGCCGTTCGCGCTCGCCCGCGCCTGCGCCGCCCCCGGATTTGCGTCCACACACAGGGGCCGACCACATGATGCTGCGCACGCTGGTCGGCTGCCTCCTGCTCCGGGGCGGGGCAGCGCAGACGGGCGCGGACACGCTGGACCTGGGCGACACGGTCGTGTCGACGGCGGAGAAGACGCGCGAGATCACGGGCGTGAGTCCGACCAGGGGCTCGAGCAACGGCGGCACGCGCATCCACGTCGAGGGCGCGGGCTTCGCGACGGAGTTCTTCGCGGGCAGCAACGCCGTCTACATCGGCAGCGACGCCGAGGGCTGGGCGCCCTGCGACGTCGTCGAGGGCGCCTGCACCGTGGACTGCGGCGGCGACAAGAAGATCGTCTGCGACACGGGCCCCTGGGTCGCCGACGAGGACTCGGGCTGGTTGGATGTTTGGGTCGTCGTCGAGGACACGATCTCGACGTACGATATAATAAAAGAGAGCGCCTACGCGTACAAGGCCTCGACGGACGCGGACGTCCCCCAGTTGACGGGCGTCGAGCCGCGGCACCTGGGCGCCGGCGACGTCCTGGGCCTGCGGGGCCGGGCCTTTGGGGCATTTGTCTCGGACTACCGCGTGATCTACGTCGGCGCGGGCCGGCCGCCGCAGGGCGGCAACGTCGTCAACGGCTTCGACGCGGCGCGCACGACGCAGGCGCTCTGCCGCGCCGACGACCTCAACCTCGCCGTGAACGCGGACACGGGAAACGTCGACGGCGCGTCGCTGCCCATCATGGTCGAGGACGCGGTCATCGGCCACAACTCGCCCGTCGCCGACGGTGCGCGAATCACCGCGCGTGCGGCCGCCTCGCCGCGCGGCGGCCGGGCGACTGCGCCGTCCGCCTCCTCGACGACGCGGTGCCCCCGCCGCCGCGGTCCTGGGCCGAGGAGATCGGCCCGCGCCTCGACGCCAAGGGCGAGGTCGCCCGGCCGCCGACGCCCGAACCCCAGTAAGACGAGCAGCAACAGAGGTTACACAAGCGCGCCGCGCGGCGGCGTCGGCATGCGGACGCCGGTGCCCTTCGGCGCCGACGGCCGCGCGGGCGCGCGGAGCGGCGACGCCGGCGCGCGCGGCGCCGGCGGCGCGCGCGGCGCCGGCGGCTCCCTCGCCGTCATCTCGACGGCGGCCTTGGGGAAGCCGCGCTGCGGCGCCGGCTCGGTCCGCTCCCGCGTCCTCGCCAGGAACGGCCGCCAGATCATGAAGTTGATGAAGCCGGAGAGCGCGAGCCAGACGGCCTGCGTGAGGATGAGCCAGGGCTCCGTGCCGCCGCTGTGCACGTAGCCGTCGAGGCGGAAGATGATGCCGTAGACCCAGACGAGCACGAAGGTCTCCGTGACGAGGAGCGCGCGGAAGCACAGCTCGTGGTGCTTCTTGAACTCGGCGGCCACGCGGCCGCTCGGCGTCGCGACGCGCGTCAGCGACCGGTGGAGCGACGCGTTGAGCGACCGGACGACGACGACGACGGACACCTGCGTCGCAGCGTCGATCCATGGGCGACGGTTTCGAAGCTCTCGAGCGCTCGACGAGCGACGACGGCGCGTCCGAACGTCGGCCGAAACGACGCGACCGAGCCGCGTCGAACGATTCGCGCGCGCGGGCGGACGCCTGCGCGAGGAGCACGTAGAGGTAGAGCGGCCCGTAGAAGGCGAAGACCCAGTGGCCCGTGAGCCAGCACGTGCCGTCGGCCGTCGGGCCCATGGCGCCCGCCGCGTGGGCCGCGACGCAGGACGCGAGCGCGGACGTCCAGACGAACAAATGGTACCTGGGCAGGAAAAGAGAGCGAAATTCCCAATTTCAAAGGCTCCTTTCTCGGCCGATTTCCACTCGTTTTGGCTGATTTTTGGACGAGCGATCATCTCTCGGAGCGATCTCGAAGCGTGGATGCTTTTTCTAGAACGCGCGCGCGAAACACTCACATTGAAGCGACTTTGAATCACCCTTTTCCTGCCCTGCGTGGTACGTTGTCAGATAGCGCCGCGCGAGCGTCAGCCGGTTCTTCCGCCCCACGGTCAGCGGCCGCACCATGGTCAGCACGAGGTGCAGGCCGTAGATCGTCGACCAGGAGATCGTCGCGAGTCCGAAGAACTGGCCGAACCACGCGGAGACGTAGCAGAGCGGCCCCGGGCTGTTCGACGGCCGGATGCCCGTCACCGTCAGGAACGACGACGCGAAGAATTTCAGGGCGAAGCCGAAGTCGCAGAGGGACGTGCACTGCATGATGTGCATGAGCGGCTGGTAGCGCAGCTCGTCGGGGGACGTGTGCACGCGGTACATGATGTAGCCCGACCCGCCCATGCTCGCGAGGCCGCCGACGCCGTAGATGAGCGTCACGCACCAGAGGAAGGCGGTGCCGACGATGCGCCGCGACATGACGAGAAAGAACCAGGGCACGACCGTGTAGGCGACGACGAGCGCGAGGAACTCGCGCTGGCGCACGGAGTAGCGCAGCAACGGCGCGCGGCGCTCCAAATAGGGCAGCATCAGCACGACGTCGCTCAGCGTGGAGAAGGACGCCTCCCGCTTCGGGCGAAAGATGGACTCGCGCACGCGTCGCCACCGCCGCTTCTTCGGCTCCTCCTTGGCCTCCTCGACGCCATCGTCGACTGCCCGACTCGACGACGCCATGGCTGCCCGACTTCACACACGCGTTGAGGTCTTGCACTACAACTGAAGATTTTCTGCGATTATTGGCCGCCACTCATGAGCCACTCGATCCGAGGCGACTTCTCCGAGCACGAAGCCGACGAGGACACGCCGACGAGGCACGCCGACTCGCAAAGCCACATTTCATGTCCGCCATGTCCAAGACCATCCTCGTCACCGGCGGGAACAGCGGCATCGGCGCGGCGCTCTGCAAGCTCCTCGCCACGGAGCACGGCTGCCGCGTGCTCCTCGGCGCGCGGTCGCCGGAGAAGGGCGAGAAGGCCAAGGCCGACATCGTGGCGAAGTACCCCGACGCGAAGATCGACGTCGTGGCCATCGACGTCGCGTCCGACAGCTCCGTCGCCGCGGCGGCGGCAGCGGTGAAGGCCATGGGCGTCACGTTGTACGCGTTGGTCAACAACGCGGGCCTCGGCCTCGCGCAGGCGGACGACGACGCGCACAACACGGCGGCGGTCATGAACGTCAACTACGCGGGCCCGAAGCGCGTCACGGACGCCTTCGTCCCGTTGATCCAACCCGACGGCGGCCGCGTCGTCAACGTCTCGTCCGGCGCCGCGTCCGCGTGGGTCAAGGGCTGTGTTGAAATCAAATCTTCAAGCCGACTTCAACGTGCGCATATGCGAAAGTTCCGACGCAAGCTCTTCGGCTGTGCTTCGAGAACTCGGCGAGAGCAATCGATCCGTCCAAAAATCAGCCGAATCGACTTCGATGTGACCGAGCTAGAGAGGTTTGAAGTTTTTGCTGGACGGGGCGTTCCACTGGTTGATTTCCACACAGGTCAAGGGCCAGGACGCGGCCACCAAGAAGCTCTACTCGACGCCGGGCCTCACGCAGGCCCAGCTCGACGCCTCCGTGGCCAAGGAGGTCGCCGCGGGCAACGTCGGCTGGGGCGACGGCTACGGCATCTCGAAGGCGGCGCTGACGGCGCTGACCCTCGTCCAGGCCGCGGCGCACCCGACGCTCGTCGTCGTCTCGCTGAGCCCGGGCTTCATCATGACGCCCATGACCGTGGGCTACGGCGCCAAGCTCTCGCCCGAGGAGGGCTGCAAGTCCTCGATCAAGTGCCTCTTCGGCGACGTCGTCTCGGGCCTCTACTACGGCAGCGACGGCCTCCGCTCGCCCATGACCGTGAGCCGCGACCCGGGCACGCCGGAGTACGCGGGCGAGGACGACCCGGACCCGGCCAAGTACAACAAGTAAGCGTCACTTCGTGCCCGCGTACGTGTCGCGGCACGCGCGCACGAGGGACCGGCCGACGCCGAGGTCCACGAGGACCCGGTCCGTCGCGGCCCAGAGCGCGCGCCGTGCGCCGGGTCCAGCGTGGGGGCGTCGCCGGCGACCTCGTCGTCGCCGCGCACGGCGGCGGCCTGCGCGTCCGCGTCCGCGACGCCCGCGGCGACGGCCCGGAGCGGCCGCGCCTTCGCCGCGAGCGCCGTCGGGTCGGTCCCCGCCGTCACCCAGGACGCGGGCATCCACAGGTCGCCGCTCTCCGCCTCCGCGTCGAAGCACGCCCGCAGCAGGGGCACGACGCCGTGGCTCGCAGGCTGCGCTCGGGCGAGCGGAAACGCGAAGGGCAGGAGCAGCGGCAGCGGGTTCCACCAGGGAAAGCTCGCGAGGAACGTCGCGCCGAGGTTCGTCTTCACGAGGCCCGGCTCCGCCGACAGGCTCTTGATCTTGCCGTGGTCGCCGAGGCGGCGGTGCAGCTCCATCGCGAAGACGGCCTGCGACAGCTTCGCCTGGCCGTAGCGCGCGAAGCGGCCGCCCGGCGCGTCGCCGCCGAGCGCGCCCGGCGGCGACCGGCCGAGGTAGCGCTCGGGGTCGTAGGCGCCGTTGTTTTTGTTGTTGCGCTGGCCGCTGTGGTGCTGGACGACGCGCGCCTCGCCGCGCGCGGCCGCGGCGACCTTGAGGCTCGGGAGGAGGAGCTTCGTGAGCAGGACGAGCGCCAAGACGGAGACCTGCGCCGTCGCGTCGTAGCCGTCCCGGCTCCGCACGTCCGCGCCGGAGAACAGGCCCGCGTTGCAGGCGAGCACGTCGACGCCGCCGGGCGCGAGCGCCGCGACGTCGCCCGCGGCCGCCTTGACGCTCTCGAGCGAGAGGAACTCGGCGTCGACGGCGTGCACCGCGGTCGCGCCGCCGACGCTCTCGGAGAGCTCGTCGAGGCGGTCCCAGGCGAGCGCGGACCGCGGCGAGTCGCGATTCACGCAGATGAGCAGGGCGGCTTTTTTGAGCACCGCCGCGCGCGCGACCTGGAGGCCCAGGCCGCTGGTCGCGCCGGTGACGCAGACGCACTTGCCTTCCAGCGACGGCAGCGAGTCGAGCACCGCCGCGAAGACGCCGGCGCCGTCGTCGGGGTCGTCCCCGCGCGGGTCCGTCACGCCCGGCGCGACCTCCGGCGCGAGCGCCGCGTAGAGGGGCACGAGCGCGAGGAGCGACGCGCCGGCGAGTTGCAGCGCCTTCGACCGGCACCGCAGGCACGCCGCGGCGGCGGCGACGGCCGCGGCGCCGTAGACGCGCGGCGTCGTGAGCACGGGCATGGCGGCGCCGAAGGGCTGCCCCGCGCCGAAGGGCTGGCCGAACGGCCGCTCCCGAACGCCGAGAGGCTGTCTGAGGCGAGCCGAGAAATTGACAGAGTCTGGAGCACTGCGAGCACGCGAAACCCCGAGGCCCGCAACGATGAAGACCTACAACATCGAAAACGAGCACAACATAACAACCACCGTCGTGAAGATCGACAACGACCTCGACACGGACGACGCCATGGCCCTCGTGAGCTTCTTCGTCTTCATGTTCGCCCTCATCCTGCTGGGCCTGCTCATCTACTACGGGTCGAGCCTGAAACTCTGGTGGCGCCAGTCGGTCGTCTTCCCCATCCGGCGCCTCTGCTGCGAGAAGGAGCGGAAGCGGCTCTGGCGCCTCCACAAGGACGCGGTGATCCGCGCGGACCGCGCGCTCGCGGGGGCGCGCGAGAGCGACCCGTCGCTCCTCGAGGAGGCGCCGTCGTCCGAGGACCCCCTGGAGCGCGCCCTCGACTCGCTCGTGGGCCTCGAGCCGCTCAAGGAGGAGATCCGCGCGCTGCGGCGCACGCTCGTCGTCGAGCAGCAGCGGCGGAACGTGCTGAATCTGGGCGGCGACGGCAAGAAGCGCAAGGCCGCGCGCGTGTCCGCGCCCCACATGGTCTTCCGGGGCTCGCCGGGCACGGGCAAGACCCACGCCGCGCGCCTCATCTCCCAGCTCCTCAAGGAGCTCGGCTACGTCCACGGCGACATCGTCGAGGTGCAGCGCGCCGACTTGGTCGCGGGCTACGTGGGCCAGACGGCGCTCAAGACGCGCGCGGTCATCAACCGCGCCAAGGGCGGCGTCCTCTTCGTCGACGAGGCCTACGCGCTGACGCCGGGCACGTCCGCGGCGGCCGGCCGCGACTTCGGGGCGGAAGCGGTGCAGGAATTGATGCGCGACCTCACGTCCGGCGACCCCGTCGTCATACTGGCGGGCTACCCCCGGGAGATGGAGCGTTTTCTGAACGTGAACCCGGGCCTGAGCCGCCGCTTCCAGGTGCGCTTCACCTTTGCGGACTACTCGATCCAGCAGCTCGCGGCCATCTTCGTGAAGATCGCGGACCGCAACGGCTTCCGCCTCGGCCGCGACTGCTCCGCGGCGCACCTCGAGCACGTGCTCTCGACGCACTTCCCGGAGAGTTTGTGCCGCAAGTGGAACGGCGGCCTGCCCGAGGGCCTCTTCCGCCGCGCGCAGGACGCGCTCGCGAAGCGGCTCAACGTGCTCACGATGTCGGCCGAGGCCGCGCTCACGCTCACGTCCGCGGACGTCGTCGCGGGGGTGAAGATCCTCGCGGCGACGCTCGGCGGCGACGACATGGCCCGTCCGCGGGCGCCGCGCCGCGCGCCGCGCGTCGCGCCGCCGGGCGCGCCCGTGGCGATGCCGCGGCCGCCCGCGCCGCGCGCCGCGGCGCCGGACGACGACGACGACATGTACGAGGACGACGAGGAGGCGCCGGCGCCGGACCTCTCGGCGGCGCTGGAGACGGAGAACCCGCTCCACGCCATCCTCCAGAGCCTCGGCGCGGACGGGCTGCCCTTCGACAAGCTCAAGAACGTGCCCGCGCGCCTCGACCGCCTCGAGCGGAGCCTCAACGGCCTCATCCTCGCGAACCAGGCCCAGGTCAACCCCTGGGCCGCGCCCGCGCCCGCGCCCTAGACGGAAAAGACCGCGCTTTTACAAACCTAGACGGACGCCTGGTCGGACCCGACGGGCGGGATCGCCGGCGGCGTGTACTTTTCGCCCGGCGCGTCGAAGATCGACGTGTCCTTGCAGTAGACGACGGCCATGAGGATGCCGCTGGAGATCGTGAGGATGCCGCAGGACAGGCCCAAGGCGTTCGAGTGGCTCGAGTCGAGGCCGAACTGTAAAAAACCGACGAAGACGAGGAAGACGGCCTTCGTCACGGGCTTGTACATGAAGCCGAAGTTCGCGCGGTAGACGGCGTCGACGTAGGCGATGGGCTTGGGCAGGAAGGACATGGCCTCGAAGACGAAGAGCATGACGGCGAAGAGGAAGACGTAGAGCGCGACGAAGATCGCGTCGGTGTCCGACTCGCTCGACTCGTTCGACAGCGAGTCGATGGCCGTCGCGCACATGAAGACGCAGAGGCCGATGTTGGCGACGCGGAACATCTGCGCGCGGGCGACGCGTGGGCGGGCGGGGCGTCGCGGCGCGTCGCGCGGCGCGGACGCACCAGGGGCACATGCTTGGCGACGGCCGGGCTGCACCGGCCCGTCTGCGCCTGGGACTGGGCCTGGTCGCCCTCCATCGCCGGCGGCGGCGGCGCGGCGAGAGCGCGACGGCGGCGCGCGGCGAGAGAGCCTCTCGCGCACACCAGGCGGCGGCGGCGTCGATGGCGTCGAAGGCGAGGTGGCCAGTGGTCCGAGGCGAATATTGCCACAATTTCCTTTTTTTAACAATTGGCGCAGCGCCCTCCGGCGGGCACGTCGACACGAGCTCCCACTTCACAAACACACGTGGGTCGCGTCGACCTTGCACTCGTCGCCGAGAGCATCGAGCGCGCCGATGACGGACGCGACGTCGCCGTCGAGGACGCGCACCGTGCACGCCTTCTCGTCCGCCGCGCCGAGCTTCGCCAGCACCTTGGACGACTTGCACGCCGCCGTCGCGCGCCGCTTGAGCGCGCGCGGTTCCGTCGACGTCAGCTTCGTGCCCATCGTGTAGTCGCCCGCGCCCATGCGCTGCAGGTTCTTGCCGTTCTGGCTGTACGTGATCTCGTTCGCTCGTACGGCGCCCGCGAGTATATCGCCGACGTCCGCCGGCGCCGCGGTCGGCGACGCGCAGAGCACGAGTGCGACCGCGGACGACAGCGCACGCGCAAACGGCGTGCGGGATGGCAGCGGCGTCGGCTGTGGTCTCGTGTGCGGCGCGAGCGCAGCGCACGAAGCGACGGCGAAGACGAGCCGCCAGACGCGAAGCATGCTCGTCGCAGAGGAGCTGGTCGCGGATCACGCGTGCGCGCAATCTAGAGATTAGACACGTCGCAGCGTCGCGCGCGTCGAGACAACAAGATCGCACAGCCCTCGGAAGAGCGCGGGCCGAGAGGGCAAGCATACAAAGTTGAGCGGAAACATCCACATCCACGCGCAGCCCCGACCTGCCGATGGAGCTCCGACCCAAGGACCCGGGCGCGGCCCGGAGCCCGACGAACCCGTCGTCCGAGCCGGCGTCGCCCGAGTACCCGCCCAGCGCGCGGTCGTCGCTGCTGCGCTCCGTGAGCGCCTACCTGCCCAAGTCGGCGCGCACGCCGTCGCCGACGGACCAGGCGGGCCCGGCGAAGCGGCGGAGCGAGCCCGGCCTGCGGTCGTCGCAGTCGGAGCGGGGCCTGCTGTCCGCCGTGCCGGAGCGCCTGCGGCCGCGGCGCTCCTTCTCGCCGCCGGAGGCCGGTCCGAGCCCCCGGGGCAGCCTCGAGTTTTCCGACGCGGACCGCGCGGGCCCCCGCCGCGGCCCGAGCTTCCGGCCCAAGCACATCGTCACGTCGGACCTCGTCACGGAGGACATGGTCGCGGCGCCGAGGGCCTTCAGCCCGCGCTTCCTCCAGCGCCAGGGGTCCGCGCGGCGCGACGACGACTCGCCCCATTTGTCGCCGCCGCGGTCGCCGTACCGGCGGTCCTTCACGACGCCCGGCGGCAAGCTCTTCAAGCGCGCGTCCTGGGGCTCCGACTCGGGCGCGTCCATCGTCCACGAGCTCGCGGGCCGCCTCGAGCGCCTCGAGCGCCAGGGCAGCGGCCGCCGGAGCCTCGCGGACGCCGCGGAGTCGCCCGGCACGCCGTCGCTCGCGGACGACGACTTCGAGACGGGCCTCGACTCCGTCGACGACTTCGCGTCGGCGCGGGGCGCCGACGACGCGAGCCTCGGCGGCGCGCTCGAGGGCGCGTCGCCCGGGGGCTTCGCGCGGTCCGCGGGGGTGCCGCTGGAGAAGCAGATGGACCTCCTGCGGCGCGAGGCCAAGGTCAACGAGTGGCAGCGGCGCCTCGAACAGCAGGAGGCGGACCTCTGCGCGTTCCGGCAGAACCAGCAGGCCGCCGAGGCGAACCGCCGCTACTCGCGCCTCGCGTCCGCGTTGACGTTCGGCGCGCTGCCCGAATCGCCCGGCGCGAAGCCGCCGTCGCCGAAGGCGCCCAAAAAGGACGCGGGCGACGAGGCGCCGGGCCGCCACGCGCCGGGCGACGGGCTGTCCGGGCTCCTGGCGACACTCGTCTTCGACCCCCAGGGCTCCGACTGGTTCATGGTCCTCGCGACGGTGCTCCTCGTCTTCGCGATCGCGGGCGCCGCGGAGGCGCCGCTCGTCTGGGGCTTCCGCGAGGCCCCGGCGGGCGCCTGGCGCGCGACAGTCATCTTCGCCGACGTCCTCTTCCTCGTCAACATCGCGCTGGGCCCGCTCAAGGCCTACGTCGACAAGCACACCTTGCTCCTCGTCCGCGACGTCCGCCGCACGGGCAAGAGGTACGCGCGGACCTGGCTCCTCTGCGACGCGCTCGCCGCCGTGCCCCTCGCGGCGACGCTGGGCACGCCCTACGTGTTCCTGCGCTTGTTCCGCGCGGGCGTCGTATTCCAGTACTCGTGGATCTTCCACTACGTGGACCGGACGACGGCGTCGTCGGCCGCGACGTTCCGCCTCTTCCGCCTCTTCGTCTTCTACGTCTTTCTGGGCCACCTGCTGAGCTGCTGCTACTGGCGCATCGCGACGAGCGCGGACGGCGGCCGCTACGGGGGCGCGGAGTGGTGGACCGTGTCCGAGGAGATGGAAGCGGCCGCGCTCGGCCACCGCTGGCTCTTCGCGACGACGAAGTCGCTGACGCTGCTCCTGGGCGAGGACACGGCGCCGGGCACGGCCGTCGAGTGCGGCTTCGTCTGCGCGACGATCTCGCTCGGCGTCTTCGGGCTGTCGGTCGTCATCGGCCAGGTGACGCTCGTCGCGTCCGATCTGGACGCCATCGGGCGGAAGAAGACGGAGCAGGTCGACGCCGTGCTGCTCTATTTACGGTATCGCGGCGTGCCGGGCGACGTGTCCAAGGAGATCGTGCGCTTCATCGAGTACATGTGGAACAGCGGCCAGGCGGAGCACGAGACCGCGGGCCTCGAGACGCTGCCCGATTCCTTGAAGCTCCGCCTCGACCTCGCGCTCAAGCAGCAGTTGATCCGCAAGGTGCCCCTCTTCGAGGACCTGCCGCCGACGGGCGTCGTCGCCGTCGTCCGGGCGCTGCAGTCGCTCGTGGTGATCCCGGGCGAGGTCATCGTCCACGAGGGCCACGAGGGCCACGAGATGTTCTTCATCGGGTCCGGCTCCGTGCGCGTCTACAAGCGCCGCGAGGACGGGTCGGACATCGAGCTCGCGCAGCTCCACGCCGGGTCGTTCTTCGGCGAGATGGCCCTGCTCGAGGCCCAGCTCCGCATGGCGTCGATCGCGGCGCTCACGTTCTGCGACCTCTTCGTGCTGAGCGCGTCGGACTACGAGGACATCTCCCAGTCGAACTCGAGCCTCCGGGACGCGCTCCACGCGTTCGCGCGGAAGCGGCGCGACTCGAACGCGGACAAGCTCCAGGCGCTCGGCACGGCGCCCGCGGAGGGCGACGGCGGCGACGAGACGCGCGTCTTGGTCGACGACGCCGACGCGGAGCAGGACGCGCTGCGCCACCAGCTCGTCAAGCGCGTGCCCATCTTCGAGGGCGTCCCGCCGAGCGCCGTGCTGTCGATCGTCAACGCGCTCCAGGCCCTCGTCGTCGCGCCCGGCGAGCTCATCGTCAGGGAGGGCAACGACGGCGGCGAGATGTTCCTCATCGCCAAGGGCTCCGTGCGCATCTTCAAGGAGCGGTCCGCGGACCACTTCGACGACGACGGCCTGAGCGCGGGCGTCGTCGAGATCGCGCGGCTGAACGCGGGCTCCTTCTTCGGCGAGAAGGCCCTGCTCGAGGAGAAGGCGCGGCGCAACGCGTCCGTGGCCGCCGTGACGGACTGCCACGTCTACGTGCTCTCGAAGACGGACTACGACCGCATCGCGTCGCTCAACAGCACGATGCGCCGCGCGGGCCTCGAGAAGAAGGCCCGGGCCCTCGGGAGCCGGGCCCCGCACCACGTCGCGCCGACGGTGCACCTCCGCTGATAAGATCTAGGCGCGGCGCGCCCGGGCGACGAGCAGCGCCGCGGCGAGGCCCAGCGCGGCCGCGGCCGCGACGAGCGCGGGCTCGCGCGGCGCCGCCTTGGCGCGGCCGCCCTTGGCGGCCTTGGCGGTGACCTTGCTCTTGTGGCGCTTCTTCGCGGGCTTCTTCGCCTTGTCGCCGTTGGGCTTGAAGGGGAAGTCGCGGCCCTCGATCTGCTGGAGCCGGGCCTCGTCGATGGGCCGCCGGTGCCAGAGGAACTTCTTGCAGCCGTGGAGCTTCAGCGCGCCGTCGTAGAGCTGGTAGAGCGCCGTGCCCATGGTCACCTCGTGCAGGCTGTCGATGTCGTCGTCGGGGCGCAGCAGCCCGTCGGCGACGAGGGCGCCCCGCGCGGGGCCGTCCACGAAGAACGCGTTGAAGAGCGTCGTCTCCGCGAGGTGGTAGCCGTGCTTCTTCGCGAGCTCCACCAGCGCCGCGAGCGACGAGCCCTCGCGCGCGGCGTCGGCCCGCGGCTGGATGTAGACGATGTCGTGGGGCATGGTCGGGTTGAACTCGACGACGTAGACGCGCGACCCGTAGCCGCTTTCCAACAGGTCCTTGAAGATCCAGTAGTCGCAGCCGTCGACGTCGACGGACACGAGGTCCACGCCCAGGGGCACGGACTTGGCGTGCTTGCGCAGCAGGCTCTCGACGCTGCGCGACGCGTCGACGCAGGACACGAAGGCCTCGATGGCCACGTTGCCCAGCGGCGCGTGCAGCTCCCGGAGCTTCGCGCACCGCTCCGCGTCGGCCTCGAGCAGCGCGCCGCGCCAGCCGCCGGCCGTGAGGAGCGTGTGCGTGTTCGACAGGTGCACGCCGTCCCAGGCGCCGACGTCGACGCACCAGCGCGTCTTCGGCCGCTGGCGCTTGTCGAGGCACGCGAAGATGGCGGCGATGACGCCGTCCTCGCCGTTCTGCGACGTCTCGTCCCGGGCGAACTGGATCAGGCCGTCGCGCCGGCGCAGCGACCGCGTCGGCGCGCTGCGGATCTCGGCCGCGGCCATTGCGCTGGCGGCGTTCGCGGCGTGCTGCGTGCTGCGGGAGAGGATGACCGCCGCGCTGGTGCAGTCGCCGTCGATTGTTTCTGCCACTCGTTCAGCGATGTTCAAGACATGTTCAAGTTGAAGAACTTACGGCGCCGCGGCGAGGTCGTCCCGGGGCGTGGCGCAGTGGTCCCGGAGGCCCTTGTCCGAGTGGGCGAACGTGCTCAGGTTGTACTCGCGCTGGAAGAGCTCGTCGAAGAACGTCGAGAGCCGCGCCTCGTGGACTTGGCGCGTCTCCGGCTCGACGCAGCGCGGGAAGGACGCGTCGAGGAAGCGCGGCGACCGGCGGTAGGCCGCGAGGGACCGGCGGCAGAGCGCGTAGTCGCCGAGCGCGCCGCCCTGGAACCACACCGCGCGGTCGACGGGGAAGAGCAGGAAGAACAAGGGGAACATCTTCAGGAACCAGACGAAGAAGTTCAGGCCCTCCGAGATGCCGATCTCGTACCAGAGCTGCGCGCCGCCGTCGTCGATCGTGTCCCAGAGCACGTGGAAGAGCACGTAGGCGATGCAGAGCCCGTGGACGCCGAAGAGGACGACGAGCAGCCGATCGCCCGCGGACTTGAAGCGGCGCAGCTTCCGCGTCCGCTCCACGACCGCGCGCGCGGCGCCCGGCGTCGTCACGTCCAGGTCCCCCGCGAGGAGCGGCGCGTAGAAGCAGGGGCAGATGACGAGCTGGCGGATCAGGACCGCGTACAAGATCGTGAACGCGTACTTGATCGTATAGAGCGCCACCCGGCTCGTCGAGTCGGGCTCGCCCCGCTCGTACTCGTCGACGTCCATGACCTGGGCAGGAAAAGAGTGCGAAATTCCCAACTTTGGAGGCTCATATCTCGGTCGTTTTCCACTCGTTTCGGCTAATTTTTTGACGAGCGATCATCTCTCGGAGCGCTCTCGACGCGTGGACGTTTTTTCCCGGAACGATTGCGCGCGGAACACTCGTGTTGAAGCGATCTTGAATCACCCTTTTCCTGCCCTGGACCATGACGTGCCGCGACGCGATCCGGATCGTAAAATCCGTCCACAGAAAGTTGAAGGCCACGGAGCAGACGAAGACGACCAGCCGCTCCTTCCGCGAGAACGGGTGGAGCGCGTGCGCGTAGAAGATGGACACCGTCGGGTGGAACTGGCAGCAGAACGCGCGCCAGTTCGACAGCCAGGTGCCGTCCGTGTTCGGGAAGCCGAAGCAGCACGGGATTGGCATGCCCCGCATCAAGAGCCGCACCGTGTCGCGGTTCCCGGGCAGCGTGAGGAAGAGCGTCTCGAGCACGCGGCGCGCGTGGTCCGACTCGGCGCGGCGCCGCGGCGACGGCGGCGGCGCGGGCTCCGGCGGCGGCGCGGGGGGCTTCGGCTTCGCCGGCCGCGGGGCCCCGAGAAGCGAGCGCCGCGCCTCGCCGTCCGCCGCGGGCTCCGGCGCGCGCGGCGGCCCGGCCTCGTCGACCTTTGTCGGTTCGGGGCGCGCGCGGCAGGCGCAGCCGCGCGGGTGGCCGTCGCGCAGGAAGCCGAAGGGCACCTGGGAGGCGCCCGGCGCCGGGGGCGGCGGCGCGGGCGCCGGCGCGGCCTCGAGCGCCTGGAGCGCGCCCCACTCGTGGACGAGCCGCGCGCACGACACCGCGAAGGCGCTCGGCGGCGGCGGCGGCGGCGGCTTCGACGCCGGCTCCGGGATGACGCGCCGCGCCGCCTCGGGCTCCGCCGTGCCCAGGAAGAGCATGACCGCGGCCGTGAACACGCCGACGCACGCGACCGCGAGCTCGCAGCCGAAGCCGTAGCCCAATTTTTTGTCCAAGGAAGCGTACGTCCGCGTGCCGTTCGCGAGCGTCGAGGGGAAGCCGTCGAAGCAGTCGGCGCGGAAGGACCGCAGCGCCGCGATGGTCGACGCGGCGCCCAAAAAGGAGGGGACGACGCTCAAAAATTTGTTGCAGCCGCCGTCGCGCGCCGCGTCGGACCGCGCGAGCAGCGCGTTCATCGACGGCAGCAGCGACGCGGCGCCGACCTGGGCAGGACAAGAGAGATTCAACGTCGCTTCAACGTGAGTGTTCCGCGCGCGCACGTTCCGGAAAAGCATCCACGCTTCGAGACCGTTCCGAGAGATGATCGCTCGTCCAAAAATCAGCCAAAACGAGTGGAAAACGGCCGAGATATGAGGCTTTGAAGTTGGGAATTTCGCTCTCTTGTCCTGCCCTGGCGCCGACGACGCTCGTGGAGAAGAGGCCCGTCGACGCCGCCGCGCAGTCCTCGACGCCGCCGGACTCGTCCGACGGCACGAGGTCCTCGAAGTCGTCCCACGCGTAGTAGCCGTCGATCGGCGACGGCGCGGAGCCGTTCCGCGCGCCGGGGCCGTCGACCCAGACGCCGCGGAAGCCGACGTAGAGCGCGCCGTTGGGGCCGCCGACCGTGTCCATGGTCACCGACGCCCAGGCCGTCGACTTGAGCGCCTTCGTCTCCAGGGCGCCGAGGCAGGCGACGACGGCGACGACGACGCAGCAGACGTGGATGCCCACGAGCGTCTTGACGACGGCGCGGCGGTTCGCCGTGACGTCGCGGCTCGCGAAACAGGCGAGGCCGCGGCACAGCGCCGCGCAGGGCGACTTCTCGCAGCAGGCGGGCGCCATTCTCAATGAGATTTTAGGCTGCTCGAGGGCTGCCCATCGTTTTGCAAGTTCGAACGCTGCCGCAACATTGACTTCAATCATTGAACAGAAGAGAGACATGTTAGCCCCGGGGCCGCCGCCGCGCGGCCGCCGCGGCCTGGGCCTGGCGCCGTCGCTCGTCGGCGGCGGCCGGCGACAGCGTCCCGACGACCCGGGCCGGCGCGCCCGCGAGGACGGAGAACGGCGCGACGACGACGTCGTCGGGCACGACCGCGTCCGCCGCGACGACCTGCGGCGGAGCGATCCATACAGAAACGCGCGCCCATCTCCCCGCGGACGCGGCGTGGACGCGCGACGTAGTCCTTGAGCACCGCGGACTTGCCGACGACGGCGCGCGGGCCGATGCGCGCGCCCGCGCCGAGCGCCGCGGCCTCGACGACGGCGCCGGCGCCGACGTGGACGTGGCTGCCGAGGACCTGGGGCACGTAGGCGAGGGCCGGCGGGTCGCCGACGCGGCCGGGGGGCTTGAGCACCGCGCCGGCGCCGACGTCGGAGTAGCGGCCGACTTTGACGCGCGCGAGGTCCCCCCGGACGACGGCGCCGGCGCGGACGACGGAGTCGCCGGCCATGGACACGTGGGCCGCGCCCTCGACGAGCGCGGCCCGCGAGATGACGTTGGACCGCGCGTGGATCCAGCGGCCGCCGTCGCCGTAGTCCTCGTCGTCGTAGGCGTCGCCGGCGTCGCAGGAG